CGAGCCCCTTTTGAAGCCGGTGCTGGAGTGACAGCATCCGCCGTGGCGTTGCTTTCTTATGTGCCGTACGGAGCTCTTACCCCTGCTCCGGCCCACCCTGCACGGCGCACGGCCCTGTACAAACACAGCAGAATGACAAGTCCTGCTCCAAAGTGGAGCCTCCTTTCTTTCCACTAGATGCCGCCAGATGAGACTAAGAAATAAAATAACATGAAGCCGGTGCTGGAGTGACAGCATCCGCCGTGGCGTTGCTTTCTTATGTGCCGTACGGAGCTCTTACCCCTGCTCCGGCCCACCCTGCACGGCGCACGGCCCTGTACAAACACAGCAGAATGACAAGTCCTGCTCCAAAGTGGAGCCTCCTTTCTTTCCACTAGATGCCGCCAGATGAGACTAAGAAATAAAATAACACAGACGTCCCGCCCCTGCCCTCGCTCGCCGAATGGCTCTTTTGGTGCATCCTCTGGGGGGTGCCTGTTTAAAGACTTAGCAGCCGCGGGGCGTGGGTGTGGGCAGAGAGGCCTTCTGAGGCACAGCAGGTTCACATCCCCGGCCAGGATTCCCTGGGCCTCCCCAACTATACAACAGCACTTAACATTTGCTGTCCAACTCCTACCTCCTCCCCTTTCTCTCTGGGGGGGTCTGCCAGTCCCCACCCCTCCCATCCTCTCGGGTAGCATCACCTCCCACTGTATCCTGTAGCAGGGAGTTCCACCGGTTAACAACCTTTGTCTGCTTGCTTCCTGCCCCATACAGGGTGTGTTCCTGTTTATACCACAGTTACGTCAGGGGCACCAGGCTGATTCTGGGCTCCGGCGTCAGCTTTTCTGGGGGGAACTCCATTGGCAGGGGCCCCTCTCCCATCTCGAGGGCCCCGGCAGGAGTTCCAGCTGGCCAGGCCTGGCCCTGTCCTCCTCCAGGTCGGGGGAAGCTGGGGCTGAAAGTGAAGCGGTCCAAGGGCGTGTGCTCGATTCGGCAGAGGCTCGCGTCGGGGGAGTAGCAGGCGTTAAGGCCCGGGAGGGAGACGCCGTCCTCCACAGAGCCGCTCAGGGCCGGCTGCGTCTGGGAGGCCTGGCTCTTGGTGTCTGGGGCGTTCTCCAGCGGGAGCTCGACCCGTCGGAAACAGTAACGGGCAAAGAGGCTGATGAGGAACATCTCCACCACCAGGGAGTAGTAATAGATAACTGGGGGGAGAAGGGGGAGGTTACAGCACAGCCCGGCTCGGCGCCAGGCTCCCCACCCCCCGCTCCGGAGCCCCTTGGCCCTCCCCTCCCCCCCAACTCACTCTGGGAGCGGGTGTCAGCCGAGAGCGGGGGCTGGCAGGGGATGGCGCCCAGAGCCCCCATGGTCTCCAGGATGCCCCTCTGCAGGCTGCAGAAGAGCCGGGCAGGGCCGGCCTGGCGGCCTGGTAGAAGAGCAGGTAGCCGTAGAAGGACAGCCAGGTGGAGATGGCGACGATGGCGTTGATGTAGGCGTTGGGGTTGGTGAAGCTCACCTGGGGAGGATGTGGGTCGGAAGAAGGCAGTGGGCGGGCTGCCAGGCCCAGGGGGAACGCCCAGGGTCATGCCCCACTTCTGCCCTATGCCTGGGGACCGCAAAAACCTCAATCCAACCCCACCCCCTGCCCAAGGATGGCGCTGAACTCACCTCGGCGCCAACCCCGCCCCGTGCTCAGAGGGAATGCCCGCGCTCAGCCCAACCCTACGGCCCGGGCTTACGCCCATCCCTGCCCAGCAACCAGCAGAGCCACCAGAGGCACCCAAGGGTAGCGCCCTGCCCAGCCCAGCGCCCAAGGGTAGCGCCCTGCCCAGCCCAGCGCCCAAGGGTAGCGCCCTGCCCAGCCCCGCGCCCCACGCGACCAGCGCCCCAGGGTAACGCCCGGCCTCGACCCAGCGCCCCAGGGTAACGCCCGGCCTCGACCCAGCGCCCCAGGGTAACGCCCGGCCTCGACCCAGCGCCCCAGGGTAACGCCCGGCCTCGACCCAGCGCCCCAGGGTAACGCCCGGCCTCGACCCAGCGCCCCAGGGTAACGCCCGGCCTCGACCCAGCGCCCCAGGGTAACGCCCGGCCTCGACCCAGCGCCCCAGGGTAACGCCCGGCCTCGACCCAGCGCCCCAGGGTAACGCCCGGCCTCGACCCAGCGCCCCAGGGTAACGCCCGGCCTCGACCCAGCGCCCCAGGGTAACGCCCGGCCTCGACCCAGCGCCCCAGGGTAACGCCCGGCCTCGACCCAGCGCCCCAGGGTAACGCCCGGCCTCGACCCAGCGCCCCAGGGTAACGCCCGGCCTCGACCCAGCGCCCCAGGGTAACGCCCGGCCTCGACCCAGCGCCCCAGGGTAACGCCCGGCCTCGACCCAGCGCCCCAGGGTGTATAACGGATTCTCCAACCCAGCCAACACTCGGGGTTAACAGCAACCTCAGTGCTGGTCCCAGCACTCCCTGCCCTGGTGGAAGAGCTCCCCTCTCTGCGGAGAAGCCTGCCCCCCCGGCTGGCGAGGGGCAGAGGAGGACATGGGGCCGGGGTGACTCACATCGCCATAGTCGTACTTCTCGTCGGTCCAGAGGATGAGGGCGACGAAGAAGAGGATGGTCCTGATGAGGGACAGCTGGTACACGGCCAGGGTCATCCGGCGCAGGTTGGACCTGGGGGTGACAAGGTGGGATGTGCCTCGGTTTCTCTTTGGTTCTTGGGGGGCCAAGGGGGGATGACGCAGAAGGAGTGTCCTGTGCGCCGGCCGTGTTGCTCCCGGAGATGCCAAGAACCGATGGGGGCGAGGCAGCCAGTGGGAAGAGACCCTGGCAGAGGTGGACCGGGCTGGGGATCTCGGCCACAGTGAGCGCCAAGGCTGGCAGGAAGCACGAGGGGGGCTACCTGGGTACGGCCTTTGAGCCGATTCCAGGGCCGGAGAGGGACCCTGGTGCCCAGCGGTGTCTCCAGCCAGAGGGCGTCCCCGCACTGCCGGAGAGCAGGCTGGGTAGGAAACGGGCTGGTGCCCTGGGCACTGAGCTGAGGTGGGTTGCGCCTTTGGACGTTGGGCAGGATTTATAGGAGCTGGACCGAGGTTGGGTGTTGCTGTGGCAACGTGGGATTGGGCGTTGCCGGGGGGACAGGCCGAGGTTGGACATTGACGTGGACTGGTGGGGCTGGGCCGAGGTTGGACATTGACGTGGACTGGTGGGGCTGGGCCGAGGTTGGGTGTTGCTGTGGCAACGTGGGATTGGGCGTTGCCGGGGGGACAGGCCGAGGTTGGACATTGACGTGGACTGGTGGGGCTGGGCCGAGGTTGGACATTGACGTGGACTGGTGGGGCTGGGCCGAGGTTGGGTGTTGCTGTGGCAACGTGGGATTGGGCGTTGCCGGGGGGACAGGCCGAGGTTGGACATTGACGTGGACTGGTGGGGCTGGGCCGAGGTTGGACATTGACGTGGACTGGTGGGGCTGGGCCGAGGTTGGGTGTTGCTGTGGCAACGTGGGATTGGGCGTTGCCGGGGGGACAGGCCGAGGTTGGACATTGACGTGGACTGGTGGGGCTGGGCCGAGGTTGGACATTGACGTGGACTGGTGGGGCTGGGCCGAGGTTGGGTGTTGCTGTGGCAACGTGGGATTGGGCGTTGCCGGGGGGACAGGCCGAGGTTGGACATTGACGTGGACTGGTGGGGCTGGGCCGAGGTTGGGTGTTGCTGTGGCAACGTGGGATTGGGCGTTGCCGGGGGGACAGGCCGAGGTTGGACATTGACGTGGACATGGGAGAAGGGGGGAGCTGGACTAGGGGGCAGGCTCCTCGGCTATGCATGCCTAGGGACGAGGGGCGAGAGAGGGACCCCAGGCCGGGCGCAGGGCCGTGCAGGGTCAGGGATGCCAGGTTTCCTGGCGCCCACTGGCCCTCAGCCGGGCTCAGTGGGGTCTCAGGACCGAACACAGCAAGGGAGGGCTCGCGTGGGGCTGAGATGCAGCCACCTCTGGGGTGGGGCAGCCAGGGAACAGCCGCACAGAACACAGCAAGGGAGGGCTCGCGTGGGGCTGAGATGCAGCCACCTCTGGGGTGGGGCAGCCAGGGAACAGCCGCACAGAACACAGCAAGGGAGGGCTCGCGTGGGGCTGAGATGCAGCCACCTCTGGGGTGGGGCAGCCAGGGAACAGCCGCACAGAACACAGCAAGGGAGGGCTCGCGTGGGGCTGAGATGCAGCCACCTCTGGGGTGGGGCAGCCAGGGAACAGCCGCACAGAACACAGCAAGGGAGGGCTCGCGTGGGGCTGAGATGCAGCCACCTCTGGGGTGGGGCAGCCAGGGAACAGCCGCACAGAACACAGCAAGGGAGGGCTCGCGTGGGGCTGAGATGCAGCCACCTCTGGGGTGGGGCAGCCAGGGAACAGCCGCACAGAACACAGCAAGGGAGGGCTCGCGTGGGGCTGAGATGCAGCCACCTCTGGGGTGGGGCAGCCAGGGAACAGCCGCACAGAACACAGCAAGGGAGGGCTCGCGTGGGGCTGAGATGCAGCCACCTCTGGGGTGGGGCAGCCAGGGAACAGCCGCACAGAACACAGCAAGGGAGGGCTCGCGTGGGGCTGAGATGCAGCCACCTCTGGGGTGGGGCAGCCAGGGAACAGCCGCACAGAACACAGCAAGGGAGGGCTCGCGTGGGGCTGAGATGCAGCCACCTCTGGGGTGGGGCAGCCAGGGAACAGCCGCACAGAACACAGCAAGGGAGGGCTCGCGTGGGGCTGAGATGCAGCCACCTCTGGGGTGGGGCAGCCAGGGAACAGCCGCACAGAACACAGCAAGGGAGGGCTCGCGTGGGGCTGAGATGCAGCCACCTCTGGGGTGGGGCAGCCAGGGAACAGCCGCACAGAACACAGCAAGGGAGGGCTCGCGTGGGGCTGAGATGCAGCCACCTCTGGGGTGGGGCAGCCAGGGAACAGCCGCACAGAACACAGCAAGGGAGGGCTCGCGTGGGGCTGAGATGCAGCCACCTCTGGGGTGGGGCAGCCAGGGAACAGCCGCACAGAACACAGCAAGGGAGGGCTCGCGTGGGGCTGAGATGCAGCCACCTCTGGGGTGGGGCAGCCAGGGAACAGCCGCACAGAACACAGCAAGGGAGGGCTCGCGTGGGGCTGAGATGCAGCCACCTCTGGGGTGGGGCAGCCAGGGAACAGCCGCACAGAACACAGCAAGGGAGGGCTCGCGTGGGGCTGAGATGCAGCCACCTCTGGGGTGGGGCAGCCAGGGAACAGCCGCACAGAACACAGCAAGGGAGGGCTCGCGTGGGGCTGAGATGCAGCCACCTCTGGGGTGGGGCAGCCAGGGAACAGCCGCACAGAACACAGCAAGGGAGGGCTCGCGTGGGGCTGAGATGCAGCCACCTCTGGGGTGGGGCAGCCAGGGAACAGCCGCACAGAACACAGCAAGGGAGGGCTCGCGTGGGGCTGAGATGCAGCCACCTCTGGGGTGGGGCAGCCAGGGAACAGCCGCACAGAACACAGCAAGGGAGGGCTCGCGTGGGGCTGAGATGCAGCCACCTCTGGGGTGGGGCAGCCAGGGAACAGCCGCACAGAACACAGCAAGGGAGGGCTCGCGTGGGGCTGAGATGCAGCCACCTCTGGGGTGGGGCAGCCAGGGAACAGCCGCACAGAACACAGCAAGGGAGGGCTCGCGTGGGGCTGAGATGCAGCCACCTCTGGGGTGGGGCAGCCAGGGAACAGCCGCACAGAACACAGCAAGGGAGGGCTCGCGTGGGGCTGAGATGCAGCCACCTCTGGGGTGGGGCAGCCAGGGAACAGCCGCACAGAACACAGCAAGGGAGGGCTCGCGTGGGGCTGAGATGCAGCCACCTCTGGGGTGGGGCAGCCAGGGAACAGCCGCACAGAACACAGCAAGGGAGGGCTCGCGTGGGGCTGAGATGCAGCCACCTCTGGGGTGGGGCAGCCAGGGAACAGCCGCACAGAACACAGCAAGGGAGGGCTCGCGTGGGGCTGAGATGCAGCCACCTCTGGGGTGGGGCAGCCAGGGAACAGCCGCACAGAACACAGCAAGGGAGGGCTCGCGTGGGGCTGAGATGCAGCCACCTCTGGGGTGGGGCAGCCAGGGAACAGCCGCACAGAACACAGCAAGGGAGGGCTCGCGTGGGGCTGAGATGCAGCCACCTCTGGGGTGGGGCAGCCAGGGAACAGCCGCACAGAACACAGCAAGGGAGGGCTCGCGTGGGGCTGAGATGCAGCCACCTCTGGGGTGGGGCAGCCAGGGAACAGCCGCACAGAACACAGCAAGGGAGGGCTCGCGTGGGGCTGAGATGCAGCCACCTCTGGGGTGGGGCAGCCAGGGAACAGCCGCACAGAACACAGCAAGGGAGGGCTCGCGTGGGGCTGAGATGCAGCCACCTCTGGGGTGGGGCAGCCAGGGAACAGCCGCACAGAACACAGCAAGGGAGGGCTCGCGTGGGGCTGAGATGCAGCCACCTCTGGGGTGGGGCAGCCAGGGAACAGCCGCACAGAACACAGCAAGGGAGGGCTCGCGTGGGGCTGAGATGCAGCCACCTCTGGGGTGGGGCAGCCAGGGAACAGCCGCACAGAACACAGCAAGGGAGGGCTCGCGTGGGGCTGAGATGCAGCCACCTCTGGGGTGGGGCAGCCAGGGAACAGCCGCACAGAACACAGCAAGGGAGGGCTCGCGTGGGGCTGAGATGCAGCCACCTCTGGGGTGGGGCAGCCAGGGAACAGCCGCACAGAACACAGCAAGGGAGGGCTCGCGTGGGGCTGAGATGCAGCCACCTCTGGGGTGGGGCAGCCAGGGAACAGCCGCACAGAACACAGCAAGGGAGGGCTCGCGTGGGGCTGAGATGCAGCCACCTCTGGGGTGGGGCAGCCAGGGAACAGCCGCACAGAACACAGCAAGGGAGGGCTCGCGTGGGGCTGAGATGCAGCCACCTCTGGGGTGGGGCAGCCAGGGAACAGCCGCACAGAACACAGCAAGGGAGGGCTCGCGTGGGGCTGAGATGCAGCCACCTCTGGGGTGGGGCAGCCAGGGAACAGCCGCACAGAACACAGCAAGGGAGGGCTCGCGTGGGGCTGAGATGCAGCCACCTCTGGGGTGGGGCAGCCAGGGAACAGCCGCACAGAACACAGCAAGGGAGGGCTCGCGTGGGGCTGAGATGCAGCCACCTCTGGGGTGGGGCAGCCAGGGAACAGCCGCACAGAACACAGCAAGGGAGGGCTCGCGTGGGGCTGAGATGCAGCCACCTCTGGGGTGGGGCAGCCAGGGAACAGCCATGGATAATGATGCCCCTTCCATTTCACTTAAATCCTGCCCCTTTCCATTAAGTCCCACCCCTTTGCCCATGTCACTCACATGTTAGCAACAAAGATACACACGAAAGAGGAGCGGGGGATGTACATGCCAATGAGGGACATGATGCTGAACACCTAGGGATAAAGCAGAGAACAGGGTTGGGGAGTCGGGACACCTGGGTTCCCTCCCCAGCTCTGGAGGGGAGTGGGGGCTAGTGGTTGGACCAGCAGAGGGCTGGGAGCCAGGACTTCTCAGTTCTCTCCCTGGCTCTGGGACAGGAATGAAGTCTAGTGGTTAGAGTTGGGAGCCCAGATGCTTGGGTTCTCTCCCTGGCTCTTGGAGGGGAGTTTGGGCTGGTGGCTAGAGTGGGGGGGGGGGGGTCTGGGGGGCGGGGGTGCGGGGG